AAGTTTTGTGCAAAAACGCATGATCGCTCCGGCTCGCCTGGTGCGTTCCAGCCTACGTTTGAAATATTAACTGTAACCATCAGAAGTAATGTGCAAAAGTGTTTTTGTTCACGATTAGCGGGAACTGGCTACATTGTTAGATAATCGTTAAACAGCTACCGTCCAAAACTTTTTTTCCACTTATTTCCGAAATTATTTTGTGAATGTCTAGAAAAATTTTATAATTATTTTTTGGCAAATATGAGAGAAGACAGCCGAATGAACAACACAACTGGATTGTATTCATAAAATTTTAAACCAGCAACGAGAAGGCCGCTATTGAAATTGAGCAGCAGTACTGAACAAAGTAGATAATACGAGCTAAGATGGAAGAAGAATGGGAAAAATGGCGAAAAATCGCTCCAATGTCAGGTTGAAGCGCAACACTGATGTAGCAGCCGGAAAAATTATCATAGGAAATGTATTTATTTCAGATCGATCGCCCTATCCAGGCTTTACGAAGTCGGCAACAAATTCATGAATAAGTTAAAATTGGGTCGTGCGTCCAGTAGCAAAGCTACTGACGAGGCTCCGAGTCTTTCCGGAATTGAAAGGGCACCTACCACTTTTGCCACAGCACTGCCGCTTTTGATGCCCGCGTCAGCGTCATTCCAACAACAATCTCCATTCATCCAGACAACCCCAGTGTCCGATCATTCTGTTTTTGTGCTTGACGAGCCGTCATCACCGGTGCTACCACCGAAAAAGCCGACCACCTCCAGCTATCGCTTTTCGTTTCGTGACACTGAACATAACAATCCTGAGGAGAAATGGTACACGCTTTTTTTTTTCGCTAAGTTCTAATTCTTGCATTTGAAAAATCGATTTTTTGAAGCAGTGCAAGCAAAATTTTCCGGCACATTCAGCGAGAAAAGGTGTGTGCTTCTAGCTGCCTTCAATACATACAGTTAACAAAAGCCCTTGTCTCTAATTATCAGTATTTCGTACTTAGAGTTGCCTAACAGAAGCAGCACAGTAAATACACAGTGGAATAATCAAAAAATCACTAACAACGCCCACTAAGCGGTCCAGAACGACCATGCGTTTTTGCAGTTTTTCATGCTACATTAAGACTGCTCGTGTAACTGTGTGGTGTGTCCAGTTGTCGATGTCAGCTCTAGTAAACTTGACAAACCGGAAGTTGATGATGCACGAAAGAGACCCCATGAAGAGCATCAATCACTTCTTGCAAGCACTGCCTTTGATTAGGGGAGGGGGTGTGGGAGCGGCAGCAGAAAGGGGAAACGAATGTCGCTAGTATTATGTGCTGCCAGTGATAATGCAAATTTGCATAATCATGGGAGCACAGCTCGTGGGCACTGTGTGATGTGAAGTGTAGGAGTCACAAGATCGACTGTCCGGTCCTTAATTTTCATGAATTTTATTACCTTGTTAGATTTGACCATTGGCGTGTTGAAAATTGCCAGAAATATTTTACGTCGTATCAAAAATTCCCGTTATTGCTTTCTATGGAGAAGCTCTCGCTGTTGAACCGAGCACGCAAGAATTCATAAAAACACATAGGTTTGACCACCATTTTTTACGATCTTCGAGTTTTCACTGATAAAGTATTCAGATTTCAGTGCTTATTTGTTTCGTGGAGATTCGCTGTATAACAAACCGCAAAATTCTGGTGCTAATGATAAAGTAGAGCGTGTTCATGTTTACGATCCGTTCTGCCCTATTCATGGTTCTAGACGACGGCTGAACAGCAAAAAGCCAAAAATTCGTGATGTTGACTATCATTTGACAAGCATCGAATCAGTTGACGATACCGAACCGTCAGGTGTTATTTTGCTGAGGTTGGTTGCCGGTAATAATCAGTTTTTTAATTTTCTGCTTCGTTGCAGTTGCTAACGTGCAATAAGCTAAACTATCCTCGATTTGTTCTTCGCACAAATGCTGAAGTGGCCCCGGTCCCTCTGGTGATAGAGATATTATGAAACACAAAAATATAAAATTGTATTAAAAAACAGATGGACGAAAATCATGCGGCAAATGAGCAGTTCCATTTTAGGAAATACACCGCTGCTCAAGTTTCCAACATTTTCACAGTCCGAAAAAATTTTTAACATCTGATCTGGGAAAATTCTTTTTATGGATTTCAAATTATTTCACTTATTCTGGCGCATTCATTCATGAAATGACCTTGATGTTCACGCTTTTCTGGCAGAAATACCACTTCCAGTACCCACTGGCTTATTAGTTTACATATGTTAGTAAAAGCTGGCTTTGAAAATGGAATGCACTATGAGATGGTACAGTTGCATTTTTTGTAGACGCTTTCTGAAAATGCGCAGTAGCAGTTCTCACCCATTTCGATTTTATTGTGAAGGCTTATCCACAGTAGCTTGTTTCTGGCACTCATAAAAAGGGAGAAGTGCGGGATCTGGTGAGGAGCAAGTTACAGGCAGTTACTTCTGACTGTTATTGATTGCCTCAGTAAGATGAATTTTAGTTGACTAAGCCGGCATAAAGTGATACCTTTTAGTCAAGCATTTGCTGCGAAACTGATCCGTAAAAGACGGCGCGCCTTGCTGTCTGGCCCCGAGAAGTATCGCAGCGACAAGGCGAAACGGAAGATTCGTGTGAATTTGTGGATCGTTAGTATGACATTCCTTTTTCTTTTCACCGCTATCCATGGCTTACAGAATTTGCAAACTTCAATTAATGGCCATCTTGGAACAGACAGCCTTTCGTAAGTATTTATGTGAGAGTGTTTTGTTGCTATAATATGATGCAAAGATAGCAGCAAATCTCCGCACTCAAGGGCTTTTTTGTACCGTTTTTTTTCCAGTCCAATGAACAGTGCAGTTTGGTATTTTCTAACTAGCGAACCGTTTCGTTAGCTAACTTTCGCTTCAAGAAACACAATTTCAGAATCAAAATAGATAAATTGAGCAAATTCAGTTTGACCATTTGTGACTAACCGTGGCTGTAAAATAAATTTGCTCAGGCCTTCGCCGAGACTTACCGTTTCCTGAGATTCGTAAAACTTTTTCTCAAATTTTAAACCACAAATTAGTGACCTCTCAATCTAGAATATCGATCCGTATTGCTTCTCATCTTCACAATTTGGCAGTTCTTAGCAATACAAAAAAATGAACTCTTCAGGATTTTCTATGCCAGTCTGTCAATATCGTACCTATTCGTGCCGTCATTTGTGCTGAATCGGCTTGGCTGCAAGCGCACTTTGATCGCATCATCCGGGATATTCATGATCTATATGTTATCGAATTTTTTACCGAAGTCAGTTTTTCGGGGCTCGTCGTAAAGCGGCTGGTGATCTCGCGGCTAGCTACTTTTTCTATCTTACTTTCTAGTACATGATGATGCATGTAATTGCCGTTGATTAATGTTTGTTGAAACCGAAACAGAGAGCTAGGAGCATCTCGCCGGGCTTAATGGTGCAGTCATGTTTTTGCACTAAACTTAAAGCAATCAGTTCATTAACAGTACGAATGGCTGTTGCTTTGCACTTAATTTGTTAACTCATTACCGTAAATTTTGCATCAAAAGAAGTGAAAACGGCCTAGCTGTTCAGTTTCCGGGTTAATAGTTTTTCCATCAAAACTTTTTTTAACTGAAAAGCAAGCGTACTCAGTAACTGAATCTTTTTTTTAAAGATTTTGCGACTACGTTTTTGGGATAGCACTTAGCCAAGGAACCGAGCGGTAAAATTCTAGCATTAAAACTTGCTTGGTTGCCGACTTGAAATACCACACACATATAAACAAACAAACAAACACACACACACACAC